AGGTTATAAAAATTAATTACTGCTACAGTTTTACTAATCCTAGAAGTAGAAAACAGTTTCTAAGTTCTTATGTTTAAATAAAAAGGATAAGAGCAACTTTGCTACCATCATCTCTAGTAATAGCTAGACAGTCTTACTCCACCAAGTTGTTACCAGCTGTTTACTCCGGAACTAATTCTAAAAAGCTGTCCTGGTTTTGTCTGGGATAGAGTTCATTTTCTTCCTAGCAGCTGGCATAGTGCTGGGGTTTGGATTTAGTAGAATAATGTTGATAACACACTGATGGTTTAGTTGTTGCTGAGTACTGCTTATGCTAGTCAAGGACTTTTCAGCTTCCCATGCTCTGCCAGGTGCACAAGAAGCTGTGAGGGGGCACAGCCAGGACAGCTGACCCAAACTGGCCAACGGGATATTCCATATCATATGGCATCACACTCAGTATATAAACTGGGGGGAGTTGGCGGCAGGGGCAGCAATCGCTGCTCAGGGACTGGCTGGGCATCAGTCATCAGGTGGTGAGCAATTGCATTGTGCATCACTTGTTTTGTGGGGGAGCGGTTTCCTCCTTCCCCCCCCCCCCCCCCCTCCAGCTTTGTTTCTCTCTCATTGTTCTCCTTTTCATTACAGTTTTTATTATTATTAGTATTATTTTATTTCAATTATTAAACTGTTCTTACCTCAACCCACAAGTTTTTTGTTTTACTTTTGCCCTTCCGATTCTCTCCCCCATCCCACTGGGGGTGGTGCTTGGCTGCCAACAGGGGCTAAACCACAACAAAAGCAAACAAGTTTCTCTAATATGATTCATTGTCAATTACACCCTTATTATTTCTGACATATGAACATGATATTAACCAAGGGTATGTACTGCCATGTAGTAATAGCCAAACTCTGCTACATTTTCTGAAAAATCTTTCCAAGCTCTTATCTTCTTTACCTCTTGATTAAGACCTTGTTCTGACAAAGCCCTCTTCCTTCCCCCTGCCCCAACCTGTTTCACTCTGTCATTCTTTTCTTTAAATCCTTCCATTGGCTTCTACTCATGCACCACATGGCATTCAACCTTCTTGTTCTCAACTTCAAGGCAACCAACCCTAGTTGGATGCTTTTGATAACCTCTAGACCAGTCCATAAATTGTCAGCTTCCACATCATCTTCATTTGCCTTTCCTTGTGAGCTTCTACTTTTCCCGCATGTAGGCTGAACAGCTTTGAGACAAACCATGTTCATACCAAGATTCCACTAAACGATCTATTTCTATCAAAATGTCCAAGGGTAATCAATTGTGTTCTCCTTTAGAGTAAGTATTAGAATTTGAAGTAGCATTCCCTCAATTCCCTGTCCTGCACGCTTCTTCAAATTTAAGTTTTACTGACTCATTTCAATTTATTTTGAACTAGAACACTCATTTGTCTTTCATGGCAGATTTTACATAGCCCAGATAATTCCCCCCCTAAAATATAAGCTACATTTAAAAAAAAAATCTCTGCAATTACTCACAATATTTCAGAAGCAATAAAAACATAGCACCAACAAGCTTGCCAGGTATTACTTTACTACCTCGCTCAATTTTGCTTTCGTCCAGGCCATAGGAAGACAGGGGGCTTGTACAACATCTCTCAAGTGAGATTTTCAGAACCAGGCTTGTAAGTACTTCTGGAAAAATTAAGATTCAAGTACATACTAAGAAGTCAGAAGACAACAAAACATGGAACCATAGCATTTGTTGTATTTTCCCCCTATTCTTCCATCTTCTCATCTTTTGAGAGTCAGTCTGCAACTGGATTAAATATCACTGACAATTGTTCTACCTTTTTGCTCTACATACTCCTCTCAAGTTTTTGTGGTTACAAAGACATAACTAAGTGCGGCTACTGCTCTTCACTGACAGGTATTTTTGGATGTCGATCCAATTCCTGTTGGACAGGCATCTTTTACTATTGCCACACTTGCAGTGGACAGAAGCCAAGAAGCAACTGCTGCAGAAACAGAATCCTCTTCTCTCCTTTGTATGAGGACTGGGGCACACACGCTTGGCAGAAGTAACATGAATGCTTACTGTAAATTGAGGAAAGCCCAGAGTCTATTACTATCATATGTATCTCCCTGAGCCTGAATTCACTTACGGATTAACTAACCCTCTACGCTCATTTACTATAGCTGCTTTAAAACCCTGAAAAATCAGAAAGTTAAAAATAGATCATTCTCTACCAAAATACCTGGACATCCTTAACATCTTTTTCAAGCCTTCTGAAGCAATTCATGGGAACAACTGCTTGACACTTTTTTTTGGCATGAAAGCCTTTCAGGAGAACTCTATCACACACTTAAAACTTATTCTTTCCCTCCTCAAAAATTCTAGGTAGTCTTAGGTCTCATAAAGCTAGGTTTTCACATTTTAACAAGTATTTGTTTTCGCATAAGGTTGACTGTGTCTACTTGATCCTTCAGTGACATATTAAACAGAAAGTATCAATCATTTCTGTGGCAAGTTGCTAATGTCACATTTAAGCACATTGGGAGAAATAATGTTTTCCTGTCCCCCCCACCTGATACCAGATGGTGAGTCTCCTTTTCAAAAAAAATTCAGATTCCCAACCTAAGAAGCATCAGTTTCCTTGACAAAAGCAGGACATCTGAAAATAGTCATCTTCCAGGCTAATGAAAAAAATTAATATATAGCTCCAGTATCAACAGATTCTTTTTCTCAGTCAATCCAATAGGTATTATATGCATTACAGCTCAGTGGTTGCTTGTCATGGGAAGGACCTAAAATTACTCTACAAAAAGCCTGACACTTGAGATACAAATTTTTAAAAGGAAAAAATACGCACACCTATAGTAATCTTAACTTCTGAAGTGACTCTAATTCACACATTCATATGCCATATGAGGGATCATAACATCAAATTTTACTTGGTTTTAGTGCTTGTCATGTAAGTACATCCAACAACTTACTGTGCTGAATTACTGAAATACTCTGTGACTTTTTTTTCCTGCAAAGAAATCAGCCTTTAAACAGATAAATTAGTGAGGTACAAAATACAATGTAGGGATTAACACCTGAAAGTCTTACACAATGAGTAAGCTTTGTCACCTTTGATGCAAAATTATTACCATTTTAAAGAAGTTCTGAAATATAAAATACATTCTCTTAAAATATTAAAGAATGCATTCCCCTATCACTTTGTACCCTGTACTTTTCTCATACCCTAAGACATGTTTGGAAAAGGAACAGTTTTCTTTGTATTCCCAACTAAGACAGTCACACACAACATGCTTACCTGTTTTTACTAATTGTTGTAGGCATTTGGCTATATTTATGTAAACAAGTACTCCTTTAATTACATGCCTACATTCTGTCTATGAAGACTACTAATTAAAATATGAATTTCAATTTAGTTAGTGAACCAGAAAAAAATGTCCTCATTTATCTAAATACAGACCAAACTTGATTCTGACTGATATAAGAGTTGAGCTTCTAAACTAACCCCAAAGAATCAGAAAATAAAGCATATATTTGGAAAAGAAAATTAATCATTGCTGTTCACATAATAATTATGTCTCATAAAAACATGGATACAAAGGTCACATTTAGAAACATGTTTTTCTTGTAGAAGGCTTTTGAGCTACTAAGATTTAGCTTTTTGCTGCCTTTACACTGTAAAACGAGTTCACTTTGGGACCAAAATGATGGATAAAAAATGTTTTTGAAGTTTCCCCTTTCCTTCATATAGCGAGATACAGAGAACATCACACACAATAAAACTTTTATCAGAACTACTACTAAATCAATCAAGTTACACACTGTCAGCATCTATTTCTAAAAAAAAAATCTGATTGATTCAGGTACCTCACTTCCAGGCACCAGAAAAATTCTAGTCCAGGTTCCCAACTGTTTTATTTAACAGGAAGTGTATAACAGGTGTCCTTAGCTTGAAAAGCTATACAATAAAAAAAGTACAGTTTCAGTAATCCAGCAGCAAATATCCATTGTAATTTTAACAGCAGTATCAACAGATTTTAGATACAGTTAGGAAAGTCTTTTGGCAAAGGTACATGCACTTCCCCTATTGATCAGGGATCTATTTCTACTCTATCAAAGCCACCTTAGCTACATACAGACATGATCCTTTCAAGGTGTCATAATCCTTCTGAACTTCCACAAAGTAACTGTAGAATATCTGCATACAGCAGAACAGAAATTCTCTTCAGTTTTTGGAATCACAAAGCAAGTATTGCTGCTAGATATCTTTATTTTCCTTTAACAAAATACACAAAGGCACAAAATTCACTTATATCTTGTCATTATTGTACAGGTATAAATAGTGCTTTGTATTCAAGTACAATCAAGTGCAGAGACTTTCTATATTTTATGTAAACACAAAACAGTTTTGTATGTATGTGCCTCTGGCTCATCTGCAATGCAAATACCAAAGGAGATACCACTTATCTGAGTGCCATTTAACTGAATTCTGTCAAAAAAAGTTAGACAAAGAATAACATTAACACCACCGCAATGACACTTCCATATGCTTAAGTCAAATGTCAGATGACACTTTAGCTTGTAAACATCTGTGTATTTAAAATGTACTCAATTGATTTTAACGGGGAAGTATTAAAACATATCTTAAGTTCACTAGACCGAACTTACTAGGTCAGTTGCTGCCAATAAACACTCTATGTGTGACAGCTAAAGGGATGTCAAATTTCAGGTCACCCTTAGCAAAGCTTATACTTTTAAGTTTTTAAATATGCAAACTGAACTACAGCTACAACTGTTAGACTTCAACCAACTATACATTCTGTGTGTTAACTTAGAGACACATGCTTAATTTACAATACCCACTTTTACACATAGCTTTGACATACAGTGGCAGTTGAGGCAGTTTAAGCTCAAGCGAGATTTTTAAGTTGTACCATTAAAAAAAGCTCACCTGAATAGTAACAACAGGCATGAACAAAGCTAAAAACTAGCTACAGAAGGCACTTGAAGTACTTTATTCTGCTTTCATTAAAGATTCTTCACTTTGTTCAGCTGAAATAGACTCTGAAATAGAGTCTTCAGTTGTTGAAATGTTTTCTGCTTCTTTTTCAACTTCCTCAGCAAGCTTATCATTTAGCTGCTCAGGACTTGGTGCTTTATCATCCGTCTCATTTGTCTCAGCAACCTGGGCCATGTCCTCTTCAGATTCTGTGAAAAGAAAAATGATGAAAAACCACTTCCAGAAATGAAGAGGTGCTAATATCCTTAAAAACCAAACAAAACAACATTTTGCAATCACACACAGGTTTTGACTAGTCACTGCATGAAGTTCTCAACTGCTAAAAACTATTTATTTTTCTAACAGGAGGGTCACAGGTAAAACCTGTAAAATTTAAGAAAAAAGAAAATACTATGGAAAAGAGTTCAGATCCCACTATGAAAGTATTATGTATTACTTATATATGTTCATCCCCCTCCGAATCTTTCTAAGCTTGTTCATTAATGTGAGACAGTGTCAGAAATAAGACATGATGGTAATTCAGCTTCTTCGTGCTTGGTAATGGAAGTTTTACCAACTGTATAGCATTTTCTGTAAGAGTTCAATCTGTACACAGAACTTAAGCATTCTATTTGCTGAAAACTACTTTAAATATAAGGAGGCAGATAACCAGAAAAAAATTATTAGAATAATATAGTTCTCAACATCTCAAAACAGCCAATGAAAATTACTATGTATTCTCAATCTTCCCACAGGAGTGTAGGAAGGATACACAGGAGTATCTTTACTCTCAATGTGGGATGGGAGTTTATTTGATAACAGGCATATTTCAAAGATCAGTCAAAAATATTTACCGCAAGTACTACTTCTGAAGTAAATTCTAGCTTCATAACAGGATTTCAGTAGCATATGAGAAATGAGTCACATTTTGAAGTAAGCATAAGCACTGAAAAGCTGAACACTAAGCATTGCACTAAATGACACATAAGGTACCGATATGATACTGTTGATGGCAGTTTATTTATTGACTAGTGTTAGTCAATACTATACAGCATTAATGCATACTGTGAAGGCAAACAGTTTGCAAAACCAATGCAATCTTACAGCTCAAAAATGTTAACCTTATCAAATGTTTGTAATTTCGTAGTTATCAAAACATGTTGGGTGTCTGAAAGTAATCAGACTGCTTCAGGCTGATATTCACAGAATTCAAGCAGGGCTGAAAGTTTTAAAACCATTGCTCTGGCTTCTCAGGTCATGACTGACTAAAGTAGCTGCTGCACACCCTTGTCCAGCAGATCTGGTACAACTGCCATCTGTCACCAAGAACTCAAGACCCCTCTGCCCACACACAGCTCCATCTAGCTAGTTCCAGGCTCCACTTCAGACTGCTCAGTGCAGCACAGCTTCTCCATTTCTTCTTCTGACTTGATCTTCCATCTTAGCAAGTTTGCAGCCAACTTACCTCCTGATTCGGTTTCCTTCCCTGCTTTCTCAATCACAGGCTGTTCAACACCTGCCTTGGCTTCTTGTTCCAAAATGTCTCTGGAGCCATCTGTCAGATGGTCAATCCTCCTATTTCTGCCCAGGCAAATTAATGTTCCAAGTTTCTTTCCAGACTATCCCACCCTCCCTTCCTGCTCTTCAATTTCCATCTTGATCCCATCCCAGCCTGTGCTCAATCTTTATCTCCCAACTGTCAGTTTTCTTTCTGTCTCATCTCTGCATTTTTTTCTTCAGCCTCAAATTCTATGAATAAGTTTGTGCCTTTTCCTGCTACAACCCCTTCACACTTGAGTTACATTCCTTCTATATTGCTGCTGTTCAGGCTCAAGTCAAAGAAAGTATAGGATGTGAGGAAGAGACAACTCCATGCCCTCTCAACTCATTTGTAGCATAGCCCAACCATTACTTATTTACAGTTTCAGTCCTGCAGTCCTCAACTGAATGATGCTTAGCACTCTACAGAACTGTTCTTATCCAATGGAGGTAAAGAGACTATTCATTCAGTCTGATCAGAAGGATGCCGAGCATCTACAATGTGTTTATGGACAGCCCCAGGGAAAATCAGCCACTAGTAGAAGCAAGCAGAAGCTTCTAAAGAAAAGGAGAAAACCCGATCAAGCGTATGTTCTAACTATCTATATTCAAAGGAACAGGAGAATGATGCTGCTTTCATTTTTATATTCTACTAAAAGATATGGAGACACTGCTTCTCTAAGAAAAAGTTGTCAGGTATTGTATGACCTTTCCCTTCACCTTATTCTTGATTAAACTTGGTGAAACTCCTGAAATTCTCCAGAATATGCGGTTAAAACAAACTTACATGGAAAATTTTGGTCTAATAATTAAGTCTGACAAAGTTATAACAAAGTAAAGAGTAGGTCCTTTAAATGAGTACTCAGGGCAATCACAGTAAGTCATGCTACTAACTATAAACATGACCAACCTTAATTAAATATATACAGTGATTCCATTTTAAATACACCGATTAATGGAAAGCTTGCCTAAAGTCAACCTGATCTCAATATTGCATGATTTAAGTTATTGTAAGAGCAGTAGTTAACAAGAGAAAGCTCTGACTGTAAACTTAAAAAGATTACAAAAGAAAATTAGTGTCCTTGATACTTAATACCTAATCCATGATTTAACTGAAGAATGTAGCTACACATACATCATCTCAACAGCAAACAGCCGTGTGCTGGCCTGAGGCAAATTTAAGAACTGCATCAATGCAACTTTAAAAAACCTGCTTCTGGCTACAGCAGTTGCTTTTTCCAACACTCCTGCTTAATGCTTAGTGCTTGGAAAGCACATGTACTTCACATTGTCAGTAGTCAGCTACCCCTCCTCCTATTGCATAGGATATTTTACTGCATAACCAGTGAAATCACAGTACTGCATCACTATTAAGTAGAAGATGTATTTCTGTTATGCAGGAATTCACAAGAAACAGTATAAAATAATTGCACTAAAAATATGGCTACACTATTTGTACTTTCAAGACCTTTGGGACAAGTTTTCTTCACCACTGCAGCTCCCCATTAGGACAGACTTTCACACAGTGCCACATGTCTGAAATATCTTTAAGGAACATGTGCTTCACAGTGGTCTGTGTTCATGGCTTTGAATCACAGAAAGCTATTTTGAAGCCTTTGAAAAAGAAGCCCAATAATAGCATAGCATTTGATTCCCTGTACCCTTTACATCCTACCAAAATGGCAAGCTATGTTGTTCAGCAAAACTGAACTGTGGTAGACTGGAAACGTAATACATTTTTAAACCAAAAGAACTTGTTCGCAAGTCATTAAGCTCAAGGTGAGTTGACCCATGTCTGCTTGAGAAATCATTGAATTCTAGCCGTATTAGCTGAACTAAGGAAAGATCACAGCAGGCAGAAACTCACATCTTTGAAAAGAAATAACGGCTTACAAAAAATATAGCAGGCTTACATTGAGCTATGAAAGCAGAGCATATTTGGTAAAAGGGCAAGCCAAACCTCTGAAAAAAGAAAATGCCTCCAGTCCATTAAAAAAAAACAAACCACACAAAAAACCCCACACCACAACACACACAAACCACTAAAAGTTGGACCATTCTGCTCAGAACAAGTATTCAAGCTTATTTCTCAGCCCTTTGTCCTCAACCAGTTTTATTCCTAGATAAAGTTTCTGCTCCTTTTATAACACTTGCCCAAAGCCAAGCTCTACTTTTGGTAGAACTCAAATAAGCACACGCTTAAATTTCTGGAGGACAGCATTACTGTGAACCCTTCTGTTGAACAAACCAACTTTCTGCCTCTGCCTTTTAAATGGAAGTCCTTTCAAATATACTAGCAGTTGCTGTATTCCAAGAATCTTTAAAAGTGACAGAGCATTAAATCATCATAAAATATTTCACCAAGATGGTCAAGGAATTCCATAAAAATCCGGAGACAACACAGGAAGCTGTCTCCATAAAGTGCTGACCACCATGGTGAAATCTGAAGTTCAAAGGCATCTAATGAAGACCCCTGAACACCAGCACCAGATATTCACCATAAAACACTGAAGCAGTCAAATTTTGTTTCAACCTTCAAAACATTGCTAAATGCTAAACCTGGATCAAGAACGCAGCATAACAGTACCAAATACAGGCAAGGCAAAATTAATCAAGAGGATAAAAGGGGTTCCTGTTGGCTTTTTCAATATGATCGAAACATTAATACTTCTAAGAGAAGTACATAAGAGAACCAACCAGCCTTTTGACGAAAAATATTCAAGATCAAGCCACTTAAGAAAAAGGTAAGAAAAGAACTGAAGTATATTGCTTCATTCTGGTACTAAAATTTCCCAAGTTACTCTGCTGAACAGGGAAGCATTACATTTGTGCCAGTAATCTGCATCAGATTGACAGCTGACGACTCTGTATTTCCAGAGGATTAAAAATATCCAAGGTTCAGTGCCAACAGCACTCCCCATAACCATTCTTCAGATCTCTTATCCACAGGAGTTGCATGTAACACACTTGTCACTGCATGAGCACACAACTGAAAAAAGATTCAGTTTCATGCTCTACTCATTAGTAAAAGTAGCTGACTGGTGAAAAAATATTTATAGCACTTCTGTACTACATTAGCTTGCAGTTTCTGTGGGATATACAGCTACAGTTTAAATGAGTTACAGATAAGAGTTGGATCTCCCTGTGTTGTCAACATTGCGGTGAAGTTGGTTTCCTGATGTTAATGTTTGTCTACATCTGTAAATGAAGATATTCTCTATTCTTGCTATGACAGCAGCTATATTACTGTAGTGAACAAAAGCCTTCCCAGAGCTATACCTCAATGATAGCTTCATACCTTAAACTTACAATCAAGGAATATGTTCATTTATTAATAAAGCCCAACTGCCTGTAATCAGTTATGTTTCAAATTAGTGTTCTGATGGAAAAAGTGATTTACTGAAAATGAAATTCTCTCATTCATAGGAGATTACTTTGTGGCACGTCACAGACAGTTAATGCACAGTGACAAACTGATAGGGTAGCACTGGCCTTGTCTACATCAAGAAGACATTTCTCAGATATTAGGTATGTACAATATTAACACATACTCTATTTCTGGCTGCTTACTAATTATCAAAACAGAATGGTTTCTATCATTTTGGAGATTAAATATTCAGAAAAGATCATATATTTTAGCTAGGTAAAACCAAAAGTCAACATACCAGTTACTTATTTCCTATGCCTCTTTTGAAAAGTTTCACCATACACTACTTGCAGGAAAAGAGAACTAGGGAACAAACCCCACAGTGGTTTCTTTTGTTGTTGTTTTTAAATAAAGAAGCACATTAATACAAGACCACACCAACAAAAACCAAGTAACTTTCAGTGTTAAAGATAAATTGGTAAAATCACATTTACTACAATAAAACCATCCTATGTTTTATCCCGAAATACCTGACAAAATTCTGCTTTCAAAAAAGCAAAAGTTATCTTGCAGAATTTTCACTCCTACATCTCAAGCACCTAATGAAAATCTCACACTAATTCTTAAGGTTTTACATTTTTTACAACATCTATAAACTAACTCAGCAGCTCAGACCCATTAAAGGCATAGCTTGATAAACATTTCCTTCAATGACAATATCAGCTTAATTAGCACTCCCCTCTCCCAAAACCTCTAAGAACCTACAGTTATGGATAATACTCAGAAGCCCTCAAAGCACACACCTCCAAGAGCTGAAGGGCTTCCCCATCTGATTCACACAGAGGAAAATAAGCAGAGTTTTGAAGACCCCAGTAACAAATTATGTCTTTTCTATAAGACTCTTCCAATCTTAAAAGTAGCCAAGAAGATACTAAACTACCCTCCACTCACTGAAAAGATGATCAGATCATTTGAGGGCAAAGATGACATTTGCATCATCTTAGCTTCATGCATCTGATTTCGGTCTTACTTTCATGCTAGTAGTAGTACTTTTAACGAAGTAAGAGTGCACTATGGCACAGGAAAAGAAAACCAGTTTTCCCTGTAACGCACCCACATCAGACCACACCCAGAGATGGCTACAGTTTGATCTGACTTCCCTACCAGTATCATGGAGCCTTCTCATGCCAGAAAGTAAAGGCCAATGCCATTTTCTACTCCCTGTTAAAGATAATCAAGCAGAAACATTCTCTCCATTACACTCTGACAGTTTACCACAGTTGGTGTGTTTCTAGCCTGAATCTCTGGGTTGTACACTATTTGATAGTTTAAACAGGGGTAATGGCGGGAAGCTAACATAAAATCCCATCAAGTACTCAACAGCACATCTAACTGGAGATTCCCTGGTTTGAAATTGTAATTTCTGGAGCCTTTTAAAACACTGCATCTTCCTGTTGGCTGTACACCAGATGCCTACTGTATCTGCAGACTATAAAACGTCTCAAAAGGAACTACGTTAAATTAAAACTGACAATTTGTCTTTGAACTCCCTGATTTTAAACAAGGCAGTTTTACTAGATTTTCCTGCCCTGAGGAAAACAGCAAAAGGAACAAAGGCAGAAATTCCAACACACCTCAATTCTGCTGAACACAGTGAAAGTTAACCACTTCGGGACATACTCCCTTCTTAACTATTTCTGTAATCTACGGTGGTATTTTCTATCTATCAGTAACATTAGAGTGAAAAATTTTATTATGCCATGATTTGCATGAGACACGTTGCCTAATATGAAGAAATTTTAGGGTACAGGACAGAAGACAACAGCATCAACAAGATAAGCTAGAAGCAGGTACAAGAAGAATTAAAAAAGAAAAAAACCCAAACTGCATCCACTACGAAGTTAGAATAGAATAGGCTATTTCACTTGGAAGGAACTAACAACAATCATCTAGTCCAACTGCCTGACCAGTTCAGGGCTGACCAAAAGTTAAAGCATGTTAAGGGCATTGTCCAAATGCTTCTTAAACACTGAGAGGCTTGGGGCATCAAACACCTCACTAGGAAGCCTGTTCCAGTGTTCTGAGTTTTTCAGTTGTTCTTATCCTTATAAAACCTCATCTAGACAGCACGCTAAATGACAAAGAGAGATTTCATTAGACATTAAAAAAAGAGCAGACTTCATGAGATTAGCACATACCTTCTGTCTGTTGAGTCTCCTGGGGCTTCCTCTCTCTAGGTTCTAGAGGCTCAGTTTCAGATTGCAATTCTGCAGATTGCTTTTTTTCAAAACTGAAGTCTGGAAGTCGTGGAGCCTGAGGTCTAGTTTTTCTTGCAGGATTCAGGAAAAAGCAGTAGGCACACCTAAACGCTACACAAAAGCACACTCAATAAGTAGCCTAATTAATTTTACATTTCACCTTTATTCCTACACTATATTCTGACTGTCCAAAATACTAAAAACAGAGTGTTAAATAAGTGACTATCAGTACCTGAGAGTACTGCCATCAAATTTACACAAGCTGTTCCATATAGCTCCATTTTTAACTTCAGCATATGTTTGCTTCCTAAAAACCTGTTTGCTTTCAGCTCTGCTGCACTTACAAGTACTGCCCACCACTGTGAAAGATTTGACCACAGTGAACAAAATAATGCAATTCAGTACCACAAGACGTTGCCACATGGTGTTCTTCTATTCTTTCCTACAAAAGAATTTAGTTGGCAGATGATATTTTTCCCCCCCTTATGATGCCACTTTCCTCACCCTTTGAGTAAGGGGATGCTATGGATTCTGCAATGTATGTCTGTCTGCTTTTGAGAAGCACTCTGCTCGACTGGTGCTTAGTTAAGAAAAGGCAGTTTTGTTCTGGAGAATTACTGAATACCACTTAATAGTTAAATGAATATTTCCCCACTCTCCCAAGACAAGGGGGAAAAGTGGCAATTTCTGGCACAGTTGAATTGTGAGCTCACTTGAGCTAAGATGACATATCGACTACGTATCTTTGGTTCCAGAGGAAACGTTCAACTTATTCTTACAATGCTGTATATTTACTCATAAAATTAAGCAAATCAAAATGAAATTGAAGATTTATCTAAGATTCCGTCATTTCTTAAGCATCAGGCTTACACTTGTGCTAGAAAGGAGGCAAAATAAAACATCTGTGTTCAATAAAGAGCTGTGTCTGTCTTAAGTTATTGTCAGCCATAAATTCACATATAGCCCCCTGGGGCTTGTTCCCACTCCTTTCTCAGTACCTCCCCAAGATCTTCTTGCCAAAGCAAAATTTTGTTTAAGTTCTGGTAAAAGAGGCACACTTTAATGTCAGATTGTTTCTCAATATAAAACCCTTCTGAGAACCATACATAGCCAGTAGCAATTCTCAGGGATGTATTGGAGGAGGCTTATTTCTACTGAATATTTTTATACACATAAAATCCTTGGCCTGAAGGTTGCAATAAAGTACTTCTCTAAGTCTTGAAGTGAATCTTAAGGTACAGAGTAATGTTACCATAAAACTGTTCCTGTATGAAGTGGCATTTCACAGTGTCAGTTAAGTACTTAACTGCAACCAAAACGAAGTATGATGCATGTTATTTATGAAACACAAGCCAACTACTGGAGAGCCTACCACAGATTAGCTCTTACCTATGTATTCAAACTCCTCCTTCAAAGCCATACCATTGTGAGAAAAACATTGCTGACATACAAGGGCGTACCTAGAAAACGTGAATAATATATAATTACATACCTTTAAGTAATAACACACTGAAGTGAGATGCATTTTACCTTAGATTGACTAATAGCTTAGATACTTACTCTAAGAATTTCCACAGTGAAATAATTATCCTTTAAAGCAAACTGAATCTGTATATTAAATATTAAATAATAGTTTTTAAAGTTGGTTTAAAAACAGTAAAATATTCTTAGCTACAATTTAAACCTCATGGTTCAACATATTTTTTAATATCATCATTGTCAAAAAATAACATCCAAATTAAGTTCATATTGACTGTATTCTAATGAAATATAAAAAGTGACCATGGTTAACATGGAAGTTCTGATATGTCTGGACAGTTCTGAAGGTAATCTGAAAGCATTCATAATGGTAATAAAGCTGAAGTGCTAAGATAATCAAGTATTTTTTTTTTTTTAGTTCAAAATGTAATTCATTCACCCACTTGAGCATAGATTTTTCTCTTTGTATCACAGGGCTACTACCATCCAAAGCAGAGGTTAATTTTGTCAAAATGTTACCATTTTTCTCACAAAGATTTCAGGTGAAACACTGAGAAAGGGCCATTCGTTATGAAAATTTCAGACAAATTAATTTGCAACTCTTTTAACCTTGATGCATCTGACTTAAAAAAAGGTTAGGAAGCTTCCTATCTCTTAAGTGTTTAGGTATTTCCTTTAGCAACATCTTACCTGTTTTGAGGACCATCGCCAACCAAATATTCAATAACTCTATCCACAACTCCTCTTTCTCGAGGAAGAATTGGTCTTGCTAAAGGAGGGCCTGGAGGATGAAGACCTAGGAAGACATGAACTATGTCAAAATTATTTTCAACTATATTATTGTATATAATCTGGTATTTCACTGTGCGTGCTAGTGTAATAAAATAATTGCACCTACTTAATACACATGGACATATTTCTTAGTCCACTAGGAAAGCTGTAAGATTTTTAAAACCACAACAGTTGAAAGCTCCTCTTCTGCTCCTTTAGCTTATAATCTTACTAAATCAGTCTACTTTTACACCCTGGATATGTAATTAAATTTATAATTTCTAAAGAACTTAAGGCATCAATAGTATTTAATGATTACTCACAAACAGAGGCTTTTTAAGCAAAGAAAAACTCCTTATTTGAGTTTTCTTCATATACTCACAACTCTGCATATTCAACACCAAGTTTACACCAATAAATCTGGTAAAATCAATTACAACAGTAGAAGAACTAAAGATGTTACTAAAGAAGCACCCACTGGTTTCTGTGGGTTAGTATACTGCAAAAGCATGCCCTCAGTGTGCATTCAGTCTACATATTAAACCCATCTAGCCATTTGGCATTTTGGTAATCCCATGTTTAATGGAAAGTTGGATACTTTCAGATTTATGCTTAGTCAAAGAAGCCAGAAGGTCACTATTAAAGATATCACTTTTCATATCCCATGTGTTTAACAAACTACTATCAAAGTAAAATTCCATTAAGAACAGGTAACCGCAATAGCTGGTACCACCTTTTTCACCTCTGTTTACATATGGCAGCTAAAGTAGTCCAGTGGCACAAACTTGTCTTTCCACAAAGTCTTAAAACATCTGGTCTACTGTACAAGACCACTGCAAGCTGCCAATTTCCATTTATGTAGCTTTGAGTTCTTATGTCTACTTTCCTTTACAGCCTTAAAACAGAAGATACTAGGCATAATGAGCAAAACACAATTTGGTCAGAAACTTAAGTCTGAGTCATTCAGATGTGACCATTCAAATAACCAAGTACCTGAAACTTCTTCCCAAGGCCATGCTTCTGGCCAAGAGACATTTTACACAAGCACCGGAGGTATTAAGTGAAAGTACTTTCCACAAACAGATACCAGACAGATAGTCTTGAATGCGAGATAACTACGTGAGCACTTGCAGTGGCAGGGGAGAGACTTAAAATGTATTTCCATAGGACCTTTAAAATTACATTCAAAGGCCACAAAAAAGGACATTTGAGTAGGACAACAAACCAGTCCTTCCAGAACTCTGAAACTGGGACAAAATGGTCAACTTCAAGCCACCTGAAGACAAAATTATGAAACCTGACAGATAAGACTCAGTTTAACCCAACAGCAAAATTACTTGCAATAATGCAGAAGTCCTATTCAAGCTCAAGATAGTTAAGAAGGTTAGAAAACAAATTCAACTAGTATTAGCAGGTTTTGTACTAAGATGAACATATGGTAGTCTGAAGCCATGCAAGAACTAAGTATATTTAATTCATAGAAGTAAAATTCTCAAGGCACAAAAAGCAACCAGTGTTTTCTCAGGGAAGAGTTCTGGCTTGTAGCTATTCTAGCTATATCCAGTAAAAACTAATATACAGGAGGCATGGCTTAAAAGAAAGGCTTTTACTGACCAGAGGTTCAGCCTTCAATTCTCTTTTCAATTCCAGTATTTTTCTTGGGAAGATACAGAATCACAGAATCCCCCACAATGCCCAGTAAAGAAAGCAGCAGCTAACTGGTAAAACAAACTAAACCCACTGTCTGAAGGTGCAAAAAGGATTTAAAAAAAAAATCCAAAGAAAGGACTACCATGAGAGCAGAGTTTGTTAGCAAACTGAACTAATTCAGAAGGACATTTAATTGAAGAATACCATGCAAAAAACAGTGGACTTCAAGCTTCTCAGAAGGCAGATTTAGCTTTCTTGAAGCACCTTAGCTGGGTACAGCACCAGGACACGCAGTCATAGCTTCCAACACAACTGATACTCTTTCATAAACATACACACAGAAGTAACATGTACCTCTTAAGTAGAGTATACACAGGCAAAGACAACACAGCAAGTCTTACTATTTGATAAGCTGATCCAAGTTGGGCTTTAAGTTTAAATACAGCATTAAATGTAACTGCCAGCAATTACCATCTCAAGCCTTCTACCTTTTAACCTTCACAGATTGGAGCAACAAAGGAAAACCAGTCATTTGTGGCAGAATGAGACTAATCTTGCCATTAAGGTCGCAGTATTTCTAAGAGCACAGCCTTACAAAACACCTCTCATCAATACTGGATAATTGACCTAAATGGACCATCCTAATCTTTACAAGCACAATAAAATTTGATCAGAAAATACTGCAATTTACAACCCTTCAATAAGCACAAAAAAGTTTCATGCTCAACACAAATGTTTTCAAAATAACCCTAATTTTCACAAACAAGAGAACTGAATTCAGGACATATCAATCAGTGAATGCATTCCCAGGTTATTCCTGTATTCTCTCAGCAAGCAGAAACCCAGATTAAGAAAACCCTCACAGCAGCAAGGCAGAACAAATTCAGTACAACATGAACTGGACCAAATGCTTCATTTGATAGATTCTGAAAAAGCTGTCCAAAGAAGAGTTCAGGCAAAATGCATTTCCTAAAGCTTCACAAAAACCTGAAAGACCCAATACTTCCATTAGAAAAGTGAATGGACAGTGTCCGACATAGGTGTGAAGGAAAGATCTGGAGCACTGATATAATCTGCAGTAAAATTATAACATTAGAATAATTTTGTGAATACCTGGCTAACACTCAAACACGTATTTAGCCCTATATTCAAAAGACCAAATTTTCATATGACTTGTATATCACCAATATATGAAAAGTTCTCTAGAAGTTAACAAAACAGGTAAAAATTAAATAAAGTTACCAAGAATGAAACATCACAAGATGGTCCAAGAACAACTTCAATTACCTGCCTACTAATAACTCAAACCAACCATCTTAGTTCTCATGCTGTTATGGACACCAGTAATTAATAAAAACATCAAAAGCAATCATTGTAGAAAGACCGGTCATTTCTGGAAAGCTTGGCAAACTCTCAACTACCTGCTGGTTATTAATTTTCAAACATATGGGAGCTCTGTGGTAATACACGTTAAATTGATTCTCCTCTACAAAATATAGTATAATGAAAATGAATTATTAATCTTCTCTAAAGTAGAGATAATTAAGGCTATTCATATTTGTTGCAAGCCATGCATAAACTCAGATGCAATGATATTACTCTTATAGATACTGAATTTACGTACTTTTCACTACAGCTACATGACTGAGATTTTATATGCCTGGAAGGTTTGGAGAAATTCAAGAGAAAACAGGGCTTCCACATTAACTGACAACTGCAGTGGCTTCCATTGCTATCTAGGGCACATTTGGTCAAAATACCAGTTATTATTGAAAAAAAAATGTGCCTATAAAGCATTATCACAAAACTACATTAAATATTTTAATGAACAGGCTAGGCAATTATCCTTTCAAACAAGTCCTTTTTTTTTTTCCTTCTTCCTCTAAACCATTTCTGCAGTAAAGGCTGAATTTCATCCACATTATTCAATGTGCCTGAATCTTCCCCTAAGAATAAAACTATTATAAAGCTGATATTATTTTATTATATAGCTGGCTTCTTAAACAAGAAAGAGCATGTGATTTTAAACTCATTAAAAAATTTTCACTAAGCAGGTTTCAGTAAACATGGTTTGTAACCAAATGACCGATTTTCCTGGTGCAAGGAGCTGATTTCTGTTACTTCAAGATAATCAAGACTTACTAATAACTTGCCTTTACAGTTCACTTCAGGGATAAAAACAAATTTAGCAGTTTCATCATACAGATAAACAATTACTAACAAAAAATTAGGCTTAATGGACTCTGCTGAGAAGTGAGAGACCAGAACTTTTCATGGTAAGTTTATTCCCCTACACTAAACAATACAAACAGGCTTTTTAAACATTCATCCGCCCAAGATCTTCCATTAAGAGACTGGGTGTCAATATATTATCCTACTTTCAGATTGTATCATGGAAGTTCGTAAGTGAGGACGTACAGTTTCTAAGACTTAAGTAATTTAAAGTTAAAAATCAGGAACACAGGGAAGAAAAAAGTATTCCTGATCACTGTATAAAGAGCAAAGAACTACTCCGTATTACAGTGGTGCTCAAAAGATTCTTGGCAAGTTGCATCCCTTCTGTTTTAAAGGCAGCATTTCATCTCCTTCCTTGCCTGTGATCCAACTTGCCAGACATCCTGCAACAAAGAAAGACCTGGCACTCACCCATACACAGCTTTACCATCCATGAGGAGAATGAGAACAATGCCTCTGCCCAAAACTCTCAAATTTTGCTATCCCTCCTATGGAACTTAGTTCATGTTCTATTTAATCAAGTCCATCCCATCTGAACACCAAGCCAGAAGTCAAGGGAAAAGCATTTTCAGGATATGAAACAAAGTTTTAAGCAGCACTCATTTCTACCAGATTTCAACCTATTGCTAAACTTTGGACTCTTTTACCAGAATAACAATGTGATTTTAGAAGAATTCAGCTACAACAGACAACTTTTCTGGTGTATTTGGTATCTTACACTTTAATCTATGAGTATAGATTGCATGACTATACCTCCTAGAGTAAAAATTTAAATAAATGTCAAGATGCATGCTAAAAAAAAATATGCGCAGGGTTTAGTGAGAAACATGAATGTATTCTGAAAGTGTTCTCCTCCGTACCTGATTTATATAAGTGTAGAGCTCTTCTAAACTAAGAACATAAAAAGGTATGCTATATTGTTGACTACAGAATACTGCAAAGTTTTATTGCCATTTAAACAAAGAAGCCATAACAGTTAAATGAGCTCAGGCAATAGGTTTCAGCATCAAAAGGTGCCAGCTGTAAAGAGTTATGGCTAATTGAATATGGAACTCCTGCTTAATCAGATAACTGCTCTGCTATTTCCAAATGAAATGCCATTTCCATACTGTCTGAAAATGGCCTATTTTATTGGTAACCAGAGAAAACAATATAAACTGTAAATAACATTAAGTGCTCTGTTTACCCATTCCAGGCACTGAACTAGCAGGGGATCCAGGGCGTCTTGGTAAAACATTTGACTGCAAGGTTGGCACAACAGTTCTTTCTGGGTGTCCACTCAGAGCTGATGTGTCCCTCTGCAGATTAGGAGATGCTGGAACCAGTGATTTTGGAGAGCCTTGTTTAGGAGTCGGAGGCGGGGTCGTAGAAGCACTTCTTTGAGCTGTGGTCCTCTGACGAATTTCTGACAAGAACATGTGCATACTGAATTTAACATCTAGCATTATAAGCAAGAGATTAGTAAAAGTACATTAATATTGTTATTCCCATCAGCAAATTACAGAGTGAAACAAAACCAGAAAGGTCTATAACTAAAGATCACCAGCTGCCTGGCTGAGCATGCCACAGAAATAAACCCCACACAGAATACTGTATTTTAATAGCAATAATCATTAACTGTTAAATACTTAGGGCAAAATTCTTATAGAAGAAAATTAGCAGATAACTACCTTACAATTCTGTTCTCTAAGGCAGAATGTTTGAGATATGAATAGCTAGATTCAAACCACAATGTACAGACAGAACTGTGTGTTCTTTATGGTTTAAACATGCTTCCAAGAATTTAGCTTTCCATGGGACCAAAAACTGTTCAGTCAATGTCTAAAATATCCAGGCTAAGTGCCCAGAGTTATTCAAAAATTTTCAGATTACATAAATGAAACAATTCTAAAGCCAGAAGAAAACGTAATGTTTCATTCAAATCATATAGTTTCATTCACTTTTTTCAGGAACCTTAGCAACAAGCCACGTGCTTGGACTGTCACGAAGCAAGAACGGGCTCTGCTGGAACATGTCCTTACTTTTACCTCTTCTCACTCCACTATCAGAGTTACTACAAAAATCACCATTACAAAAAACTTAATAGGTTTCCTCAGTTTTTACCTGAAGGCAGAGTTCTCATTAACACCACTGGGAATATCATCCTAGTAACATATTAAGGTTTGGATATTATATTATTCATGCAAACCCTAAGTTCCATTATATTTATATTCAAGTTTGTTCCCCAAAACAAGCCAGGAACAGTGCTCATGAACAGCAGTCACTATCATCTATTTCTCATCCCATCTATACCTAATCACCTCTAGGGAGCCTTTGAAATACACCATTGCAACAAATCAAATTGAAATGTAACCCTCACTTTAGGGCTGCGGACATTAACATGGTTAACAAGTGACAGCTTAGTCTCTAGAAGGTACACCCCAAGAATGCCTGCATCTAAGGCTACAGCATCCTACAGAGTTAGTGCCTAGCACCCACATTAGTTTGAACAAGCTTGCTTGTCTTCCTTCATAACAAGTGGAATTTAACATTAGAGTTGGACTTTAAATTCATGTCCCTGAGTTTCAAGATTAGAGAGATTTTATCTGCTGACTGCGTCACGCTAGAAGAGTTTAAATCCTTAGCAGGCAGTTTACAAGTCCACTGGCAACCAGCCATGGTGAGATGGGTGTGCTGAAGTCTGAAGGAATGATCCCTGTCCCCTAAAGTACAATACTACCATGCTAAGCTTCTGTATGGGCTGGAGGAGGTGGGGAGCATGCAGCATCAGCTTACACAAGCTAAGAAAGAGTTGCTATCACTGACATACTAGATGAAATATAAAAGTTCTGTTGGAAAATCGCCAACATCAACTGCCAGAAAATTGCAACATACATCAGCTATGTTCTTGCCTACTTATCTGTACATATAAATAGGATTAATATACACCAGAAGAGAATATAAAAGACTCTTTGCTATCATCAGTTAGAAGACTACAACTGCACAAAGTCTCACTAAAAATCCACCTAGTTCAGTTTTCTACAGAGCAGAACAAATCACTGGTTTTCCCCTGCCACACTTCATGTGGATGAATGCATTACTTCATACAACTTTACCATGCAAGTTAAATCACCCAATGAGTATGAAGATTCTGTATTTTAACTTGGTTTTAGCACATAAAGTTTGTCCCCTCACTATTTAAACTGTTCAGAATCTGGAAACCAGGATAAGCTGCTGAGGTAGTTGCAGAAATTCCTTTAAGGTTTCCTTGGTGACTTGTTTCAATTCTGAAAACTGCTCCTGTGTTCAAAGTTTTATTTTAATCAAGAATTCATTTATGATGAACCTCACCATTGACATGTCTTTGAGAGCTTTTTGTGAGAGACCTTAGTAGTAACCTTCCAAGTCTAACTACACTAGAATAATTGCATCATCCTCTCCATGCCATCTCACCAACAGGCATGACGCATCTACAAACAATATCCTGATTCTGCCCCATGATTTATTTATCCATACATTCAAGTTTGTGTTACAGTTTACAGTCATGTACTATTTTCAAAAATCAAGCTGAAGTTATGCAATTTGTCAACTCTTCTCAGGTCCACAGATCTTTAAAAAGTCAGTAACAAATACTAAGCCTAACTCCACTTGTTCCAAGATAATTTTGAATATCTATAAAAAGCCATTTTAATCCACTGTTAAGATTTTCTTCATTCTTTTTCATTACGAAGCCTGCTTTATTATGGTTTTACATATAAAATTGCCAAAGATCATTACTATAATTTCTACATATGTATGTTACTTCTACATTTTGAAGGCTGTCTTCCTATATCATGTGGTTTAAGCATGTCAATTTTGGTTGCTTAACAGCTCTCAGTCTGTTTCAATAGGTCATGAATATATCCACATTTATTCTGAGCCCATAATACATTATTCCTAAGCAATTTCACCTGCAAGAGCTTTGCCCCTTTTGCCTGTTCTTTCTGAAAGGTCATTTTTGGCAAGCCTCCTTTAAAAACTTTTAAAAAGTTACTGCTGCTTTAATGATGCTTTCCCCATATTTTTGCTCCTACAAAGATGCTGAACCCAAGTACTTTACAGTCAGTATTAGAGATGTGCTTCAGTAGTTTTAGTCTCATTACAGAGGTAAGAATGCAAGACTCACTGGTAGTTTCCACAAAATTATATCAGATTATTCACAAGGCTTTTTTTCCTCCCCCTCCACTTAAAAGTTCATTTGGCTTTCACTCTATTCTTATTTCATACTTAAGAGAACTTGCCAACACTCTGCAGCTCCTCAAGTAAAAGAAGTTACCAGAAGAACTTACATTATGAGAAAATGAGAAGTGCTCTCCCTGGCAAGACCAATAGCACATCCCATACCAGTATTTCATCTCAGAGTGGTTGTGGGTGTTATTTAGTGACAACACACAAATCTGCATTATTTCTGTTGCCTGCATCTCTGATACCACCCCCGGGATCTGTAAACACTTTGGCAGGGACGTTAGAGCATACAGCCCTGTCTAATCATTTTAGTATCACGTATGAACCCTGCTGCCCATGAACTCCTCTAATTCCTTTTAAACCTGCTGTCCACTTCTGCAATAACAGCCCTAATATTCTTCTGCAGTAACTGGATATGATCTATATACTTCTCAAATTGCCTTATGTTGAGATGTACTGTGTTAATAACAAGCCTATTGCAAAGTTCCAGATTTCCATAACTTAAATTCCACAAGTTAGCTGAATAACATGTCTGTCAGGTCTCAACACTAACACAGTATACAGCTACTGCTGATGTAGTTTTAATGAAGTTTTGCAATTTTCCAAAGTTTTTTCTTCCTTGAATGATTTCTGTGCATCTGCAGATCAACTGTATGAAGACAGATAAATAACTTAAGTAGAACTTTTATTCTTCAAGCACACTGGAGTCCAGATTCTGCAGTTACCGGCACTGAACAATACAGATACCTAAGCAGACACATTGCTTTACAGGGCTACTACTCACAACTGCTGATTCAGTATGATCTCAAAGAATATTAAGATATTGCCATTGGTGAGACAGCTGTATTTTTCATGTTTACAAGCATAACTATTTTATTTCTCCCTCACTTCAAAAATTTTTTTTTAAGAGAAAAATACATAATTTTTAAAGAGCTAAAGCACAATGCAGGTCAATATTTAGTTCACATAACTTGTTGGCTTTAGTGGCAAAGACCAACCAAGAATTTTCTTTCTTCCTCCTCATGCCTGTACCCACCCCACAGCCTACAACCATCTGTTACTGCATTATTTTTAATTCAGGTCATGGAGTGATCTCATTGACAATACAGTCCTGCTAACAGTTGTATTAGCACAATGAAGGGAGCAAGTATCAACAACAGAATATTGTTGATAAATATTTATTCCACTGCCAATATATACTTACCTTATTTTTTTCATACAGCCAAAGTACTGAATAACTATATGCTCATTAACTCTACCCCTCAAAACATTTCTGAATACATAAAATTGCACTTAAGTTTTCAAATTCCTTTCCTTCTGGATTTTCAGGTCCCAAACTCAAGACTCATCTGAATCATCTGTTAAAACTAGAATTATTTAAGTGCATGTCAAAAATCACAAAAACTGCCATAAGAGCTAAATACATAGGAAAATTGGGGCACTACCAGTAGTATTTCTGAGAACCAACTATTATGTAATGCTGATTAAGTCTTTGTACTAATTAGCATGATGTGCAAGTTTCTATTTCAGCTGGTGAGTCAAAAACATACCAACTAACTAGCCTTTCATCAGCTGCCTCATACACAACATTGTCCAATCTGATTACACATTGGTCATTATTTGCCCTCTTTTCAAAAAGACTCAGTTACAGAGCTCAAGATAATGAGTTCTGCTGCCTGGCTAGTTTGTGTCCGAAGTGAGCAAACAGAAGATCAAGGAAGCTTTAATGTTAACTTGTTAACAGATACCTTGTTATTCCAATCACTATAATTCTACCACATATTACATACACCAAATTATACTACAACCACATTAAGGTGTCATCTAGTTACAGGAAGTTATATACTGCACAAGAAGAAGCTAATATTTGTTTTGGGCAGATATTATTTAGTATGAACAGCAATAAGCTAGTAGTTTTCTGATAGCTAAAAATTGAAGTAATTACTGCACATACCAAGAACAAGTTATTTGGAGAATAAGTCTCCACAATTTCACAAACTAAAGCCAAACACAGCATGTCCCTCCTGAATTATAACACATCTACAAAATACAACAGTCTGAATATCCACTTTTACATGGACAAAGAGTAGCACCAACTCTAAATTCAATGTGTTGGAGAACAGATTGGAAAAAGAGAAAAAAAAAGGAAGTTGTGCTGTATATGAACAAAATTATATAGAATCATAGAATCGTTTAGGTTGGAAGAGACCCTTTAAGATCACTGAATCCAACTGCAAACCATGATAACTTACAAAATGTATTTCCCAAAATCCTTTCCAAGGCTGAACTGCACTTTTATTCAGGATAATTGCTTACTTTAATGTGCATACACCCAAAGAAGTTGAATAATGTTTGAATCTGAAGCGTACTTTACATCTTCTCAATTGTGTCCCCACTTAGAGGTCTCTGGTTCACACCACAACAGTCTCAGAGAGCGGCACTTACATTCTTCTCAAACAAAACTAAACTGAAAGATGCCCTCCACCAGGTCCGTGAAACCAGTTTACAGCTAGCCCCAAACAAAAACCCCTAAACATATATAGTGTGGGCAAACTCCTCAGCAACAACTTTTTAACATTACAAATCTACTTCTATTATACCACACTTACTAATGTAGATGACAGCCTATAGTGGCTGGCTCTGAGAAATACTTCTAACTCTCTCAGAACATCTCCCTCATAGCCCTTCTGTTAACAGTCAAGTCAAAATCAACATAACACACCATATGCTGGACCCAACTAACCTGCTTTTGACTAACTCAGAACCCTAGATCAAAAGCATACACACTGTGCTTTGTAAACCCAAACATACACAAGACTAGTTAACTAATAGAGACTGAGCAACTCAATTGTCACCATCACTACTTACACAGCCTGGGCAGAGGGGAAGACAGCAAACCTGTAACTCCTTAGGAGTTTCAGAAATGCTGGTGGTATCTCTTAATAAAGCCATGGTGACAAAAGACTTCTCATTGTCTATTTAATTTATAGCTAGTTATCTCCAGATCTCTACATAGAAACACACATTTTCAGGCAGTTTCATCCCCTGGTCAGCATTACTTGCATTCTACAAAGACCTGTCACCCTACTTCCAGAGTAATTTCTAACATATCTCAAGGAGAAGGATTAACATAAAGAGTTTAAGGCGGGAGAGGAAGACACCCCACAAAAAACCCAGACTACCTAAACATTACAGGTACAAAGTTCTTGGCAGCCACCCATGAGCTGTATTAAGACAGAGAACAGAACAAGGTGTCAGAATGGCCCTTCAGCCTTAAAAACACTATGAATGCCACAGAAAGGCAGCGATGGGAGAGACAGGTAAGGAGCAAACTTGAGAAAAAGCTGTTATGCCTAGGACACTGGAAGACATAACAGCTTTGCTGCTAATGTACTGCACTGCAACTACTCACTGTCAATGTCAACAAGTAAGGATGGGCTAAAAACATTTTCATGACAATTTCAAGCTAAGCAAGAACAAAAAAAACAGTGGATTTGACCATGCAGCTTATAAACACCTTCATTAGTAAATCCAGGTGCTCTGCACCCATCAAAACCAGCACTCCAAGAGCAAAAAATGAGACAAATAAAAGTTTGTTTCTAATTCTTGTGAGTAACCAAAGTTGGCAATTCTAATATATGCACTAAAGCAATCCATTTATTTTATGGAAAATTAAACTGCAGAATCTGATGTGCATATCCTGAGCACCAGCCCCTGCAGGTTATTACAGCAAATTGGTACTCATGCTTTGAGACAGATCTTTGTATCTTCATTATAAAGGGCACATTGTATTGTAATACTGTGTTAATACTAGCATTTTCAGTTTAACTACAGCATATTACACTCAACTTTAAGAAAAGTTAACAGTAGTTTGTTCATATAAATAACTTCCTTTAAATTTATAGTCCACATTTTTAATGCAAACATTCTACTGAGAGAGTGTGGAGGAGATCTTTTCAGTCTTGAAACCTGTGTGTGCCATCTAGAAACAAGGCTTCCTTGAAACACATGCAAGTTTTTTCTATTTCTTTTATTATTTTATTCAATAGCACCTTTAAATGGAACATCATAAACTAGTAAAGAACTGTCCATTTTTTACACCTAGAAAATATCCGATTTCTGCACTAGCTTTGTGGAATCTCTCCATTCACCACATGAAGTAGTTTAAGCACTGCATTAGGAAAGGTCTAAATAGTCAGAAATAGAAACAGAATTGAAAAGCTAAGTCAATGAACATTACATAAGATTTGAAAGCACCTTAGTATTCTAGAAAAATTGCAGGTATGCCACCGGAAGTTCACTTTCTCTCTGCTTTAGCATCAAGCAGCATTAAACATCCTGCTGTCTAGAAGAGCATCAGCCTTTAGTAATAGATCCCTTGTCTGAAAAATACAGAACAGTAATGGGCATAGTCTAATATAAACAGTCTATTAACCCTAAATAAAGGTCAATTGATCTACAAATTGGATCATGGAGAGACTTCTAGAGTGGAAATTGCTATGAAAGACAAGTATCTGTGCTAAAGAGCAGCCATTTTACAGGGCTATTACCTTGTCCAGGTCTTGGGGTTGCAGATGTTCCAGCAGACGGCAGTTCAGCCTCCTGCCAATTAATTATAAATAATGTTATCTGAATTTTCAGCTCCATAGTACCTTTCATATTAAATCAGTATCAATACCAAGACTCTTACCTTTGCACTTGATTCTGGATCAAACCTTTCCAGGATTAATTTAGCAGTCTTGTACGTTTCCTTCTCCATTACTTCCTCAAGCTGGAAACAAAAGGTTCCACACATCAATACAAAATTCTAAGTATTTCCAACCCCCATATCCTCCCATTTACAAGCAACTTATTAATGTTACCAAAAGGTGAAGCTCAGTCCATTGAATCAGTAGCATGTTCAGATATCTACAGATTTGCTGTATTCAATGGAAATGAAATTTTGCTTTCAAAAATAGTTTCTAGACTCTAATAGGCTACTTGTATTTAACAGCTTTATTGCAAGGAAACACCAAATATTGCTAATTGTTTACATATAATGAGGAGAATAATTACATGCACCAACTTCAATAATGGAATGTGCAAAAATCTATCAGCCATCATTATTGGAAGTTATTAGACATGACAAGCGAATGACAGGCAATTCCTTAGATTTATTTCCTCATAGCACTTAATGCTATTAATTTAAGGAAGGTCATTAGCCAAGTGCTTTACAGAATAAAGTCTCTGTGCCAATTAACTGCTGTCAGCATCGATTTTAGATTATTTATTAGCAGAAGCAATTAGCTTGCTGCAAATGCTGTGAAAACTCTAACTAGAGAACAGCCATGGAATTTGCTCAAATGACTTTAAAGGCTGGATCTCCATCTTTACAGCGATTCAAACTGCTTTTCAGAAAAAAAGGGAACATGTTAAGAATTTAAATAAAAAATTTACTGAGAACTATGCATACTTTAGGGAGTGTAATTAAAGCACTTCATTATTACACTATTTTATTTACAACGCACTCAAGTGGCTTTATAGCTAATACATGGGCTTAATTAAAAAAGTAATCACTAGTAAAGTATCATTTTAGGGGTTAACAGCCGACATCAGAAGCTTAACTTTAAAACAGAGATAGCTGAAGTTATGACAAATAGCTAATATGTACAGAAATTATAATGCATTTCACAGTATCTTAAGCAGACCTTTTCTCCTAGATATGCTGACTAATGGCCACGTTCAGCTAAAAGTGGGGGGTTTGTTTGTTCTTAAGTTTGCTGTTGGCATAAACTGCAAAACTGAAAAGGTCAGTGGTCAAAAAATTAAGTTCTCTCAGACTCATTTATCACTGCTAAAATAACAAATGGTACAGGTTAACATGACTTTTATGCCATTATTTAGCTAGTGAGAAACTAAAGTTTCAGCCATTCTGTGTATACAGACCTTGTAGGGATTTTACCTTTAGACAGACCTGAGAATTACAAATAGGCCTCAGAAGCTAAATAAAATTCACTCAATTTAATAGATACACAGTATCCATTTAACATGTACTCCTACACACACTACCAGAAGTTTAAGGCAAGGAATACTATCCAGGCTGTTAATTAAGGACTGCTGAACAAGAGGGAACGAAGAGGGAAGTAAAAATCAATTTCCTAAA